ATTTGTTAATTACGAATAATTATAGTTAGGTTTAGTTCAGTGTGTTTTTTGGTCTTAATTTCGACAAATGCCTAGATGTAGGTCAACACAATTCTTACGACTTACGAGTTATAGTTTCTCGTACTAACAATTACTATTAAAAACTTTCACGGCCCTTTCCAATATACATGTACATGCAGTCGTAACACTTAAATTAGTAGTAACTGCTTTTTCATTTTCAGTTAGTAATTTTCATCGAATGTTAAATAATTCGTTTAATATATTTTAAATGATGGAATAACATGCTCTTTAACAAAACGAAGTTAAAAAAATAATAGAAATAAATAGTATCCTTGAGTTTCATATTAGAATTCTTTCTAAAACAGTCCATGAAAATAACAACTTGTTTCATATACCATTTCATTAATACAGTTTAGAGTGTTATTTCAATCTATTAATTAGTAATAAGTTAAGAGAATATCATCAAAAATTTAAATATAACTTGATAAGAAAAATATTTTTTTATAAAATTATATGTCAACGTTAAAATAACAATAAATATATGAATGGAGAGAGTTTTATATGACTATATGTGTATAATAATGGAGAGCTGGTGTTGAATGGTCAATCCTCACAACCATATCATATCTTTGTCGACGAATATATCATTTTTTATCAATATTTCAAAATCTTATTGTTAAAAAATATATATATATATATATATTTCAAGATCTTGACAAAAGTAACAAAATTTTTGTCAATATCCCAAAATTTTGTCGGCACTGTTTAAACAACTTTATTTTTTGGTCAATGCTTTATAAAAAACATCACCTTTAATTTATTTAGTAACTGTTTTTAACAACTTTTTTGTCGGCATTGTTTGAAACATCTTTGATTTCTCCTTAACGATAAAAAATCGTAATAGTTACCTAAACGATAGGAGTACTAGCTTTAAAAACTAAAGGAGTTTATTTCAAGTATAAAATTTTATCGTCGAGTGTTTATATTTGTTTAACATTTCTTTATGGAGTAAGCTATATTGTTCCTTGATATCCGAAAGACCAAAAGTAATTTTAAATGATTAATAAATGGAGCGACTATTTCACCAAAAAATATGAAGACACTAGGTGACCTAATTAGATACGTAACCAAATATTATCAATTCGATAAGATATGATCTCTATGATTAGAGGGAAAAAATGGATGCCACAACTAAAACATTGACTCGAGAAGTAAGATAAGATAGAATACTGTATTTGTTTGGGCCCCTTTAAGGTTATATGTATCTACGTTAATATTAATGTTTTTGGTGGGGCAGATGATGTACGAAAATATGAAGAGCAGAGTAGAACATGTGGTTGATAGTGGAAAAGTTGATGCTGAGTTTATCACGTGTGACCACTTTCGTGGAGTATTCGAATTGTGGACCCACACGTTCACTCGTCATGAGCATCCAGCAATCATTCAGGTATTTATTAATATTAGCTTATTAGGTCTAGTTTCACTATGTTACTCTTTATTAGGTAACAAAATGTCAATTTTAATCAATTTGAGGGCAGGTGCTACAAAACAGCGAGATTGATACGGACGATACCAAACAATATACAATGCCAAACCTAATCTATGTTTCTAGAGAGAAGAGTAAAGCTGTACCACATCATTACAAAGGCGGTGCTCTTAATACTTTGGTATAACCTAAACCCTACTTTTGAATCGATATCTAGATTCAGTCAGTTATTATTTTCGGTTTAATCATTTTCCCTTAAACTATTTGTAATGTAGCTGCGAGTATCTGCGGTGTTGACAAACTCACCGATCATTCTAACACTGGACTGCGACATGTACTCGAACAATCCTTCGACACCGGTTCGTGCACTGTGCTATTTAGAAGATCCTAAAATCAAATCCGGTTTAGCCTTTGTGCAGTTTCCTCAGAAATTTCAAGGAATAAGCAAGAATGATATATATGCATGCGAGTACAAACGCCTCTTTGAGATTAATATGGTTGGGTTTGATGGGCAAATGGGCCCGTGTCATGTGGGAACGGGATGTTTCTTCAAACGACGGGCTTTCTATGGACCACCATCTAATATGGTTATGCCTGAGATAGATGAACTTAATCCCAATCGGAAAGTTAATAATTCTATCAAGGACCAAAACGTTTTGGCATTGGCACACAGTGTAGCTGGATGTAACTACGAGCACAACACCAATTGGGGATCCAAGGTGAACTAAATCCAACCTTCTATTTCCAGTTAGAAATAGAAAAAAACAATATATTTTTATCTTCTATTTTGTTATACTATGTAACTCCATTTATCATTAAAAACAATGCAGCTTGGATTCAGATACGGGTCTTTAGTAGAAGACTACTATACAGGGTACAGGCTTCACTGTGAAGGATGGAGATCAACTTTTTGCATTCCCAAAAGAATAGCATTTTGCGGAGATGCCCCTAAATGTTTAATTGATGTTGTGAACCAACAAAAACGATGGGCCATTGGTCTTCTTGAATTTTCCATCTCAAGATATAGCCCCATTACCTATGGAGTCAAGTGTATGGGCTTATTAATGGGTCTGTGCTATTCTCAAAACGCATTTTGGGCGTTTTGGTCGATCCCTCTTATGGTCTATGGATTATTGCCCCAAATTGTCCTCATCTATGGAGTCAGCGTCTTCCCCCAAGCACCAAATCCATGGTTTTGGCTTTACATCTTCTTGTTCCTTGGTGCGTATGCGCAAGATCTAGTGGACTTTGTACAAGAAGGAGGAAGTTATCGTGGATGGTGGAACGATCAAAGAATGTGGATGATAAGAGGAATCACTTCATTCTTCTTTGGCTTGATAGAGTTCACTCTCAAATCCTTTAACCTCTCCACGCATGGATTCAACGTCACCAGCAAAGCCAACGATAATGAAGAGCAAAGCAAGAGGTATGAGCAAGAGATCTTTGATTTTGGTTCCTCTTCGCTCATGTTCTTGACCATGACTACGGTCGCAATCGTGAATCTTATTGCCCTCGTCTGGGGGATTTATTGTGTTTTCACTTCGGGAGAGGCACTCGTCCTTGAATTGATGCTGGCGAGCTTTGTAGTGGTGAATTGCTTGCCGATCTATGGAGCTATGGTGTTGAGGAAAGATGAAGGGAAATTACCAAAAATAACGTGTTTCTTAGCTTGGATCCTCACATTTGTTCTGATTGGGTCAGGTTATTTCTTCCTCAAGTAACTACAGCCATGCATGAGGCTTATGTAGTTTCATTTTTCTATTACATTTTGTTTGGAAGCAAGAATAAGTAATGCGATGTAAGCTCTCAGCACATCGTGGAACATAAATTCTGGAATCTTGAAATATATGAATGTTTTTTTATCATGGTATTTGAAATGTTTATTTATTTATATCTACATGATTTTTCAATTTTTTCGATCTATTTATTCGTTTACATATTAAATGATAAATCAAATTTATTTTGCCTATTCCAAATTCCCAGTCTATTTATTCGTTTGCATATTTAATGTTTCACCAATACTTATCTTAGGTTTATAACCAATTATATACTCTAAAAAGTTCAAAAGAAATAATTTTCTAGCAAAGCGTGGAAATGATCAAGTTGGTGAGATAAGGTCGATTAATTAGTGATACTTTTATAGAAATGATTAGTGATACTCTCTCTCTCTCTCTCTCTCTCTCTCTCTCTCTCTCTCTCTCTCTCTCTCTCTCTCTCATTACTTTTAAAATGGAATCAAAATTTCTTTTCATATTTCGAAGATGTTATATATATATATACATCACGTTTTTTTGAATATTTTTTCCTTCTGACTGGATAGATAACTACACAGAAAATAAGTTTAGTATATATGATTTAGTGGCGCAACATCAAGATTCATATTAGCTCAGCCTAAAGGTTTAAAGAGAGCGTTTGGGCACCTACTTCCTGAAAGTTCAATGTCCAGAGCAACAGATAGAAGTTTCAAGGGGAAAAACAAATGAATCTTACTATTTTCTAAATCTATGTTATGAAGAAGAAGAAACAACAAAAAAACTCAAAATGGAATTATGAACACTTCCGGGATAGACTTGAAAGAACTTGAAAGTATATCCAAAGGAAAATAATTTAAAGTAATAAAACAAAAGCTACAAACGACATATATAAAACCAATTTTTTTAAAAAAATGTCACGAGATGTTAAAAAAATAAAATAAAAAATAAATAAATAAAATGTCACGTTAGCTCGTCTTTATCTTCGTAGAGTTCACTTTTGAAACCCTAAACCTATCCCCGCATGGATTCATCAACCTCACCAGAAAAGCCAGTTATGATGAAGGACATATGAATAAAAAATTTAGTATCTTTTGTAGTTTGAGTCTTTTCTCTCCAACTACTTTGCAATAATAGGCATAACAAATTTTGTTGTCTTATCTTCTTAAAACGAAATTTTAGCACAATTTCTTTATCCAAAACAAATTAGTATATTAAACAACTATTTAGTACTCTCTCTCTCTAACAAAAAAAATGATCTACAAATTTGAAGATGTTGTGCCAATTTTTCTTTAAGAATTAGCATTATATATAGAGATAAATATATATATATATATCTCTTTTTTAGTGGGAGCAGCTGCCCCCGTCCCAATCAACGTACATCCGCCGCTCAGTATAATTTTTGTCCATGGTCGATCGATATATTTGCAAGAAGTTAAGAAAGTTAGTTACCATGTGCGTCGCGTGAATTGTGTGAGTGACTCTCGCAGCCAGTCTCAATCCATTTTATTTGTACTGTTCTTTCGCCTCTTTTTCAAGTTAGAGAATTTTAACTTGACTTCTCCACTGAAACAATCAACGGACACCATCATTTAGAAACAAAATGTTAATATATATGGTTATGATTGGTGACACGTAATATTTAAGTTGAATTGTAGTTGATATTATACTTTGATTATAATTTATTAATGTATAAGCTTAAACATTTTCAAAGTAATTAAAGGTCAGTATTATATACTATAATGAAGGGAGTATACATTATATTTAAACTAAAAAAAAACTATTTATTAACTTGCATATTGTTAAAATCATAGAGTTGTCGTTTAAAACATATAATCTCTTTATTTGAACATTTTTATTTAAAAAATAAACATCCACTCTTCCTCCTAAGAAACTCGCCTATAAAATATAATAAATATACGGTCTACTTTTGTTATACTTACCAATCTTCTCCAAAACTATTTGTGTTAAAGAAGAAAAGGAATAAAACGATGGAGAAACATTCGGTCGGCGGCACGACCCTCCACACGTGCCATCCGTGCCGGCGCAGCATACTACACAGGATCTATGCCGTAATTCACATTTGTGGCGTTGTAGCCCTCATGTACCATCATGTAAACTCATTCCTCACAGCAAAGACAAGTCTAGTAACACCTCTTCTTCTCCTCTCCGATGTCGTTCTCGCTTTCATGTGGGCCACCTCAGCTTCCATCCGGTTTAACCAGGTCCACCGATCTGAGTACCCTGAGAAATTAGCTAAACCGGAGGACTTTCCGAAGCTGGACGTATTTATATGCACGGCTGATCCGTACAAGGAGCCTCCGATTATGGTGGTCAACACCGCTTTATCAGTGATGGCCTTCGATTATCCCCCCAATAAGATCTCGGTCTACGTATCTGACGATGGAGGCTCGTCGTTGACCCTGTTTGCTTTGATGGAGGCTGCTAAGTTCTCTAAGCATTGGTTGCCTTTTTGCAAGAAGAACAACGTTCAAGATCGGTCTCCTGAAGTGTATTTCTCCTCAAATTCACATACGTGGGACGAAGAAGCTAAAAATCTTAAGGTATGTATTTTGTTAATTACGAACAACAATAGTTAGGTTTAGACGTTTAGTTTAGTATGTTTTTTACCAGACGTAGATCAACACAGTTCTTATGACTTACGACTTACGAGTGTAAAGTTTCTCGTACTAACATTGTTAATTAGTAATTAAATTCTGGCCGTTCCAATAGTCGTTAACCTATGGAAAGATGATAGGAACAGAAAGAAAAATACTGAAAAGAATAAAAAACTAGGAATGAACCAAAATGAAATGTATATAAAGAAAGAAATAAATATTTCTTGTTTCTACTCAAATTTGATAAATAATATTTCTCTACTATTATTTACAATAAAATAAAATAAAATGATAAGGAATTAGATGTAAAAAAAATTACTTATAAATTGTATGTTTTAAAAGGAAATGAAAGGAAATTCATTATTGCTCTTTATTTCTTTGGTCGCAGTAATTTGCTTTTTCTTTTTCATTTAGTAATCTTCTTCACCGAGTGTTAAATAATTCATAAAATATATTTCAAGTAATGGAATAGCATGCTCTTTAACAAAACCAAATTAAAATATATATATATATATATATATATATATATAGAAAGAAGTAGTATCCTTTAGTTTCATATTAGAGTTCTTTTTTAAAAAATTCATAAAAAATTGTTTAATACTGTACAGACCATTTCATTAATACAGTGTAGAGTGTTATTTCAATTTAATAATTAGTACTAATAAGTTAAGAGAATATGATAAAAGTATAAATTTTATGTAAACTTTTTTTTTTAAAAGAACAATACTTTTTATAAAACTAAATGTCAACGTTAAAATAACACTAAATAAATATATGAATGGAGAGAGTTCTAAATATATGTGTATAGTAATGGAGAGTCTTTTTGTTGTGTTGGATGATCAATCCTTCAAAATTTTACCAATAGTATCGACGGTAATGACATTTTTGTCAATATCCCAAGATTGTGGGTAAGTTAATTGTGACATCAACGTATAGTTTGTTTATTTGTTGTGTTAAACAAATTTTTTGATGTCGGCATTGTTTTAAGCATCTTTGATTTCTCCTACACGATAAAACTCGTAATAGTTACTAAAACGATAGGAGGAGCAAGTAGCATATAAAATTTTGTCCATATGTTCGCATAACTATACTTGAAAAGCATTTCTTTATTGTTCCTTGAACATAATTTTTCGACTGTTTGACCAAAAAAATATGAAGACACTAGGTAACCAAATATTATCAAACCGATGACATATATGAACTCTATGATTAGAGGAACAAAAGTTGATACCACGACTAAAATGACTCAAGAAGTAAGATACAGTACTATAGAATACTATATTTATTTGGGCAACAAAAAAAACTGGTTATATCTACTGAAAATTTTATATGCTCGGTGGGGACAGATGATATACGATGATATGAAGAGCAGAGTAGAACATGTGGTTGATAGTGGAAAAGTTGATGCTGAGTTTATCACGTGTGACCACTTTCGTGGAGTATTCGAATTGTGGACCCACACGTTCACTCGTCATGAGCATCCAGCAATCATTCAGGTATTTATTAATATTAGCTTATTAGGTCTAGTTTCACTATGCTACTCTTTATTAGGTAACAAAATGTCAATTTTAATCAATTTGAGGACAGGTGCTACAAAACAGCGAGATTGATACGGACGATACCAAACAATATACAATGCCAAACCTAATCTATGTTTCTAGAGAGAAGAGTAAAGCTGTACCACATCATTACAAAGGCGGTGCTCTTAATACCTTGGTATCACCTAATTACTCCTATTATTTTAAACCTTTAGGTTCAGTCAATTAGTATTTTCGGTTTAATCATTTTTCTTTAACTATTTGTAATGTAGCTGCGAGTATCTGCGGTGATGACAAACTCGCCGGTCATTCTAACACTGGACTGCGACATGTACTCGAACAATCCTTCAACACCGCTTCGTGCACTGTGCTATTTAGAAGATCCTAAAATCAAATCCAGTTTAGCTTTTGTGCAGTTTCCTCAGAAATTTCAAGGAATAAGCAAGAATGATATATATGCATGCGAGTACAAACGCCTCTTCGAGATTAATATGATTGGGTTTGATGGGCAAATGGGCCCGTGTCATGTGGGAACGGGATGTTTCTTCCATCGACGGGCTTTCTATGGACCACCATCTAATTTGATTGAGCCTGAGATAGATGAACTTAATCCCAATCGAAATGTTAATAATTCTATCAAGGACCAAAACGTTTTGGCATTGGCACACAGTGTAGCTGGATGTAACTACGAGCACAACACCTATTGGGGATCCAAGGTAAACTAAATTCAACCTTCGTATTATTACCTTGATCTAGTCTTGGTTTACATGTGTCATGACTTGTCAAAAAACTAAATGCTAGAAATATCCACTTATGAATTAAGAGGTAATACAAAATCAACACCTTTTTTTTTTTATCATTTGTCAATAAAAAAATGCTATTAAATTACATTTGTCATAAATTTTCAATAGCCTCTAGATGCTTATTTATATTTGTCATAATCTGTCAAAAAAACTTAAATGCTATTAAACTACATTTGTCATATTTTGTCAAAAATAATATTTGCTACCAATTAACTTAAAAATAAACATAAAACATTCCATCGTTTATATAGATAGCTTAGAAATAGAAAAAACTGTCTAAATTATCTTTCGACATTAGTTAGTAATATTTTTATCTACTAGTTTGTTGTTATACTATGTAACTCCAATTTATCATTAAAAACAATGCAGACTGGATTCAGATACGGGTCTTTAGTAGAAGACTACTATACAGGGTACAGGCTCCACTGTGAAGGATGGAGATCAAAATTTTGCATTCCCAAAAGAATAGCATTTTGCGGAGATGCCCCTAAAAGTTTAATTGATGTAGTGAGCCAACAAAAACGGTGGGCCATTGGGCTTCTTGAATTTTCCATCTCAAGATATAGCCCCATTACCTATGGGGTCAAACATATGGGATTATTAATGGGCCTGTGCTATTCCCAAAATGCATTTTGGGTCTCTTGGTCGATTCCTCTTCTGGTCTATGGATTCTTGCCTCAAATTGTCCTCATCCATGGAGTTAGTGTCTTCCCCAAGGCATCAAATCCATGGTTTTGGCTTTACATCTTCTTGTTCCTTGGTGCATATGCGCAAGATCTAGTGGACTTTGTGCTAGAAGGAGGAAGTTATCGCGGATGGTGGAATGATCAAAGAATGTGGATGATAAGAGGAATCACTTCATTCTTCTCTGGCTTGATAGAGTTCACTCTCAAAACCTTAAACCTCTCCACGCATGGATTCAACGTCACAAGCAAAGCCAACGACAATGAAGAGCAAATCAAGAGGTATGAGCAAGAGATCTTTGATTTCGGTTCCCCTTCGCTCATATTCTTGACCATGACTACGGTCGCAATCGTGAATCTTATTGCCCTCGTCTGGGGGCTTTACTGTGTTTTCACTTCGGGAGAGGCACTCGTCCTTGAACTGATGCTGGCGAGCTTTGTAGTGGTGAATTGCTTGCCGATCTATGAAGCTATGGCGTTGAGGAAAGATGAAGGGAAATTACCAAAAAGAACGTGTTTCTTAGCTTGGATCCTCACATTTGTTCTGATTGTGTCAGGTTACTTCTTCCTCAAGTAACTACAGTCATGAGGCTTATCTAGTTTCATTTTCAATAACATTATGTTTGGAATGTGGAAAGTAGAAGCAAGAATAAGTAATGCGATGGAATCCCTCTCCCTCAGCTCATCGTGGAACATAAATTCTGGTATCGTGAAATACATAAATGTTTTATTTTGATATTTGAAATATTTGTGTATTTATATCTACTTCATGATCTTTCAATTTTTCGATCTATTTATTCGTTTACATATTAGATGATAAAACAAAATTATTTTGCCTATTTCAAATTCCCAGTCTATTTGTTCGTTTATATATACTAATGTTTCACCAATACTTATCTTAGGTTTAGAAATATATTATATACTCCAAAAGTTCAAAATGTGAATATTTTTTCTGGCAAAGCGTGGAAATGATCAGGTTGGTGAGATAAAGTCGATTAGTCATAGAAATAAAAGTGATTGAACGGTAGGTTTCTAACCACACAAGCCGAGTCAAGTAAGTTTTGACCAATATTTTGTTTTTCCTACATGAACAATGGAGTTGTTAGAATTCTGGAATCGGCTTTGTGCTAGAAGTAATTTATTAATTTGCCAACATAAAGTTACTTCAAAGACTGAAAGTGTATATATGTTTCAAAGATCAAACTAATGCTTTATCGTAGGATCGTTATGCAATTGATTTTTATTAGAATGTCTCACAGCCATTGTACCAACACTATCGGTTAAGTCCTTAAACTGAAATGATGATGTCTATCAGTCTATACCAATGGAAGAAATGATCGGTTATTGCGTGTACACAACATTAAACTAGAGTAAAATTCTCTAAAAGCGTGACTCTATGGGGTATAATCAAAAGCCAAAAGTGTCTATAAATTCCGACATGGAAACATATTTTGAATATATATACACACAACCTTGACAAGAAACTAAAATCAAGCATGACAGGAAACTTGACAAGACTTGACGAGAAACTAATTGACAAGAAACTAAAATCAAGCTAATTACTTTTTTTGAGTTTGGAAGAACACTGTGAACAGAACAGACATGAAATCTTAGATATAATTAGTCTTTGATGAAGTAGTTGAAGGATGTAAATTCAGACGAATTTTTTTTTTTTTTTTTTAAATGTCTCGTAGATGTTTTAGGATTTTTTTTTGCGTTCTGCCTAAATAGTACGTAACTGCCTAGATGAGAAATTGATATAGACTTTGTATGATTGAGTTTTTGTCCAAGTACTACAATACAAACACACAAATGTTCCGTGTATTTCTAGCCTATACGCTATAGGTCCATTCCGTAATATGTCATTGTGGGAAGTATAATTGTCCATTGTCGATAGAACTTTACTATTTGCGTGTAGCAATTAAATATCGTAGCCCCAGTCTTCATCCACATGATTCCATTTATATGTATATGGTCTATTTTCACCTCATTTTCAAGTTGGAGAATTTCAAATTAACTTCTCCATTGAAATTTAATCAAACCATCCTTTAAAAGACTATATATATATCCAAACAAAAAGGGGTTCCTAAGGACTCGTGTATGTATATATGGGGTCATTTGTTTTCTCCAAAACCATTCGTTTTCAATTTCATTAAAATGATGACAGCTCAGAGAAAAGGATCGACAACCCTCCACACGTGCCATAAGTGCCGGCGCACCATTCTTTACAGATGCCTCGCCGTAATTCACACGTGTGGCATCATAGCCCTCATGTATCACCATGTACACTCACTTCTCACAGAAAACACAACGACTCTAATAACATCTCTTCTTCTCCTCTGCGACGTCGCTCTCGCTTTCCTGTGGGCCAGTACGACTTCCCTCCGGCTAAACCCGGTTCATCGGACCGAGTACCCTGAAAAATATGTAGCTAAACCGGAGGAGGACTTTCCGAAGCTGGACGTGTTTATATGCACGGCTGATCCGTACAAGGAGCCTCCGATGATGGTGGTCAACACCACCTTATCTGTGATGGCATACGATTATCCGTCCGATAAGATCTCAGTCTACGTATCCGACGATGGAGGATCGTCGTTGACTTTGTTTGCTTTGATGGAGGCTGTTAAGTTCTCTGAGCATTGGCTGCCTTTTTGCAAGAAGAACAGTGTTCAAGATCGGTCTCCTGAAGTTTATTTCTCTTCAAATTCACGCTCTTGGACTGAGGAAGCTGAAAACCTCAAGGTAATTTTTTTTTTTTTATAAATTAAAATATCATCTAATTCTATTAATGCGAATGTGTACATACTTGTTATACAATTAAAAGATAGTAAAATAAATAAACAGTTTTATTTTACTATCTTTTAATTGTATAACAAGTGTTGACGTACACATTCGCATAAACAATTTTATCACGCATTTTTTTATTATTCATATGATATGTTTATAAGAATTTATTAGGATGTTTTCATATTGGAATTCAAAAGTAATATATCAAGCATGCATGGTAGGCCTCTCCATTTATTATATTCTCCAGCAGTTACACCAACAAATAATCATTGTATGATGAAACAGTCGATGTATGAAAATGTGAAGAAGAGAGTAGAACATGTGGTGGATATTGGCCAAGTTGATAATGATCACGAAGATAAATTTTGTGGGGTGTTCAGTTTGTGGGCCCAAAAATTCACTCCTCATGACCATCCTAGTGTTATTAAGGTAATTATTACTTAAATTTTAATATTCCCTCTGTTTTATATCATTAGTTGTTGTAAATGTTTTTGTTTGTTTTAAAATATACGTGATTTTCAATATTTTATGTAACTTTTAATTTTATTAGATATTGTGTATCCAATAATATTATACCATTACTTTTTATGATTAATTAAAGTATGTTTAGTTTATTTATCAAATGACATTTTTTGAACAAAACTACTTTTCTTAATCTTTTTACCTTTGCTCAAAACAATTTACATTTTAAAACACAGGGAGTAATAGATATGCCGAAACAAAAGTTTCCGTAGTAAGTAGTAACAACTCATTTGTCTATTATTAATTCGTGGCTAGGTGCTCCAAAATAACGAGACAGAGAAAATGCCAAACCTAATCTATGTTTCAAGAGAGAAGAATAAAGCTTCACCACATAATTTCAAAGCCGGTGCTCTTAATACATTGGTATCCACCATACCCTACTTATGATCGGTTTTTCGTTCGGTTAACTAGCATTTCGGTTTAATATATATTTCATTAACCACAAGTTTTAAATTCCATTGTAGTTGCGAGTATCTTCGGTGATGACAAACTCACCAATCATTCTAACACTAGACTGTGATATGTACTCAAACAATCCCACATCACCGCTTCGTGCTTTGTGCTATTTGTCAGACCCTAATCTCAAGTCCGGTTTAGGATTTGTGCAATTTCCTCAGAAGTTTCAAGGAATAAACAGAAGCGATATCTACGGTTCCGAGCTCAGACGTCCCTTTGAGATTAATATGGTTGGGTATGATGGGCTTATGGGCCCAATTCACGTGGGCACTGGATGTTTCTTCAATCGACGAGTTTTCTTCGGGCCTCCAACTAATTTGATTTTGCCTGAGATAGATGAATTGGGGCCCAATCGGATTGTCGATAAGCACACGCTTAAGGCACAAGATGTTTTGGCATTGGCACACGATGTAGCAGGTTGTAACTACGAGCGCAACACCAACTGGGGCTCCAAGGTAATTAAATTAACTAATAATCGTAAACTTTAATCTATTTGACAATAATTCCTATATAACATCAAGTTATAATGCAAAATTATACAGATTGGATTTAGATATGGATCATTAGTAGAAGATTACTACACAGGATTTCTGCTCCATTGTGAAGGATGGAGATCAGTGTTTTGCAGACCCCAAAGAGCTGCGTTCTATGGAAGTTCCCCAAAATGCCTAACAGATGTAATGGGCCAACAAATGCGATGGTCCATTGGACTTTTAGAAATGGCCTTCTCAAGGTATAGCCCATTTACCTATGGCTTCAAATCATTAGGCTTATTAACGGGCTTAGGTTATTGCTACTATGTAGTTGGGCCGTTTTGCTCAGTTTCTCTTCCGGTCTATGGACTTTTACCCCAACTTGCCCTCATATATGGAGTTAGCGTCTTCCCCAAGGCATCGGATCCATGGTTTTGGCTTTACATCTTTCTGTTCGTCAGTGCATATGCGCAAGATTTGTCGGATTTTTTGTTGGAAGGAGGAACCTATCGGAAATGGTGGAACGATCAAAGAATGTGGGTGATGAGAGGACTCTCTTCGTTCTTCTTTGGTACAATACAGTTCACTCTTAAAACCCTAAACCTCTCCACTCCAGGGTTCAATGTCACCAGTAAAGCCAACGATGATGAGGAACAGAGGAAGCGGTACGAGCAAGAAATCTTCGACTTCGGGTCCTCTTCGTCCATGTTCTTGCCCGTGACAGTTGTGGCGGTCGTGAATCTCTTCGCTTTCGTCTGGGGACTTTATGGTCTTTACGCTTGGGGAGATGGATTCGTCCTTGAATTGATGCTGGCGAGCTTCGCTGTGGTGAATTGCTTGCCTATCTATGAGGCTATGGTGTTGAGGAAAGATGATGGGAAATTACCAAAGGGTGTTTGTTTCTTGGCTGTGATCCTCACGCTCGTTCTTATTGTATTTGGTTACTTTCTCTTCAAGTAACTTCAATCGTTAGGGTTCATTTACAGCAATAACACATCTGCTGAAGTAGAAGAAGACAGGGAGAATAATGTGGATGGAACCTATGCAACCATATTCAAATCAGCAAAATTTACAGCAATAACACATCTTCAAATCAGCAAAATTTAAGATTTACATTTTGTATTTGATCTACTCGCTAACAAAACTTGTATTTGCTTATTTTTCTTTCGGGCTAATGAGTCAAACCGGTGAAGTTTGAGGAGAATCTGGATGGTCGTTGTCGTCGTTCACGGAGGCTTTCGTCGAAGAGATGAAGACAGAGGAGCGACAGAGAGGGCAAGTGGTGTGAGAATAAAGCCAAAGATGAATACAATCGAGATGAAATATGTGTTTACATGAAGGCATTTCCACCAACTCTTCCTTCAACTCGAATTCTCCCAAACACACGCAACATCTGCACCAAATTTTCATTATTATACCAAATCAGTCAAACTTTCAATCAACCAAAAAACAAAAACCAATGATAACATTAACGTACTCAAATGAGGATATGAAAGTATTACAGACTTTTTTAAATAAATTTTGAGTTTTCAAGATGGGTATTGTACTAATTCGAATGAGGACAAAAACAATCCAGTGAATAAAGGTATATGTTGTCTAAAATCTTGATTTTGGTCTTATCTGGAATTTTAACCTTTCCGTCTTTACTTTTAATATTCCTTAGCTCTAAGCAACGGACTAAAAACACTTGTGAGCAAATTGCATCTCAATTCGTATATTTCAACCTTCAAGAGATTCGTAGACATCTATCTCAATTCGTATGTCAAACAGAAATGGGGACTACGAATCTTGACAGTTATAGCTCAAGCACATGAAAGTTCATAAAATTGAATTGGCCTAATTGAAGTTTTGTTCATTACATTTTGAATATCAAGATGCTGTCACGATGTTGAAAAGATCTAAAAGGTTTTAGGAAAAGTGAAATTTTGTAAAAAACTTGTTTTTGTGGGGCTAAATTTCTTTAAACAGAGCAATTCTTTGCAAAAGTTTTATATATGTTATTTTTCATTGCGACAGCAAAAGACAAAAGGCAAATAAGAAAGAAGCAAGAGTAACTTACAGAGAATCTCTTGTTCCTAGTTCTTCATTGTAAAAAACGACATGGAGCTTTTCTTTGAGCTCTACCTTCACCTCTAACAAACAAACCTGCAAAATAAAACACAATCAATCACAACACCATTCTTCATTCAACTTTATATAATATGATACCATGATAATAGCATATAAACACTCTTTAGTAACCTCACATCCCATGAAAAACAAGACCATAGCTCTACTATTTCTTGATGTGAATGATTCAGTACTTTTGCATATATATCTACAGAGACATTGGGACACTTACTGAAGGGAGATGAGAAGAAGGCTGGTGGGTCGAGGAAACAGGAAGAATCATTGGAGAAGGAGAGGAGAGAGAAGAGGCTCTTCTCTTAAGGTAAAAAAGATAGAACAAGAGGAAGAGAATGATGGAGAATAAGATGGGAATGGAGAAGATGAAGGCTTGGTAGAGTTTGAGTTGAATTGCTTGTGGGTATAGGTGAGGTTGGATTGGTGATTGAGGATCAACCATAACTTTAATTTAAAAAAAAATAATCAAACCCAACAAAGAAAAATTGAAAAGAAGAACAAATGAGAAATGATGGGAGTTGAGGAGGCACAAGAGGAGCTATATATAGATATCCTGTGTATGTGTATATCTAACCAAAAGCAGGTAACTGTGTAACCATATTGGATTTGGACTGAGATTCTATTATGATATAAAATAGCTATATTGTTTTTTTTACTAAGTAAAATTAAAGTAACTATACACTATTGGAATGCAAGTTTATATACCAATTTGCAATTGATTTAATTGCAACCCATTTATTTCTTTAGATAAGAGATGATATAGTAGTACAAATGCAAATTCAACATATATCCTTAAGCATAAGAAGTATAACAAATCACATGTGATGTGAATACATGTTTATGTACATCATCAGTAAGGGTAAGTGGTGGAACAAAAGAGCCTTTTGGGTATATAAAATACAAAGGGTATATATTCCCTATGGCTCTTATAATATAATTAAAAGTAAACAAGTGAGTAAGCAGGTGATGAGGTTCCACTATACAAGATGAATAGAAACTTTATAATGCTTAAGGATTAGATTCAAGTGTCTCAATCCTCACTAACATGGGACCTATATAATTATAACCCATCATTTCATTTGCTGAATCATTTTGGTTATTAGATTATTGACACTTGCTAAGAATCAATCATGAGTTTCTGTACCAAAATCTACAATTTGCAGTGACCAGGTCTATGCAATCAGTAAAAATCGATCACCAACTTCAACCAATAGCCTAAAACCATAGGAATTCAAACAGTTTGTTACTATGTACATCTTCTATAAGCATCCATTTCTTTTATTCTTCTCTTTTACTTTCGTAAAGTTCTGATTACTTAAATGAAGATATACCTATGGTCTCTTCTCTTGGATTAGGACACGATTCTCTACCCAAATCTTATAATTTTTAGGTACTCATAAAGGTTCGAAAGAAGTCAACAGCCAACCAATGTTTGCAAAATACCGAGATTATATGATTATAACTTAGTAAAATTTCACATTTCATCCAAAACAAGAGGACGTCCTAGTAAACTACTGAACTCAAACACAAATCAACGGTCAATCAATAACTACATTTGAATATAGACAATAACGTAAATATACTTTTTGAACAATAATTTTTCACTACCAGCAAAAGCAGAATTTTTTTTTTGATATCTTTTAATGACTGACACATAAACTTACCAAGATGATTGTGCCTAGGACCCAAAGAAAATATCTTGATTTAGGATTTGATTTGTGACCCACATTGATCGCTTTTTCACCTTTTTTCTTTAGTGATAGACAGCTTTTTGTTTTCTTCACGTTTGTTTATGGACAACTTGACCCTTTTCTTCACTGACATATTGTATTAGAACATATTTATTGCCTTATATATTGTTCAAGTCTTTTATCCAATTAGCTAAAACTTCTCATATCATTCAAATATAATATCTGGTGTGGAAAAACATCTACACACATAGAGACTAAGATAAGCCTGCTATGGATATTATCATAAGAATATCTTTAATCATACATATACTTATATCACTGGTGGTAGTGGATCCTGAGGGGTGACCTCCCTCGCTCATAGTGGGAATGATGAAAAAGATATCACTAACTTAGATTCTAAACAGATGAGTTTAGGGATTATAAAACTACTTTATAAACTTTTGCTAAATTACAAAATATAAAGATCCCTGAACTTTTCAAATCGTTTTAAAGATCTTGGTAGGAGCAGACACATATTAACTTTTAAGGTTACAGTTGTGTTCTTCTTACGATTACTGGCTAAAGCACTCTTTCACTATAATACAGTTTATGATTAAACCTCATAAGGAGCAACCAAATTTTATCTCTACTATAACTTGGATTAAATCCAATATCACACATTTTACTTCCTAAGTATTCATCCTTTTTTTCATATGTTTTACGGAATTTTCTCCAGATTAATACACAAAAATAGACCTGCTAGGCAAATTCAAGCAATTCGAAGAAATTCCTAGTCACTAAATATTCAACTTCGATTGACAATCAATAATTACGAAAGGTTAAACTCGGTTAAAGAATGAGGTATAAAGGGAAAACTTTACCTTTCAACGTGAAAATGTGATGCTGATGGTTGCTTAAATTGAAGGTCAGAACTTGGAGGTAGGTGCAGCAGATGTGTCCTCGAGCCATCATTTGTGCCAGCAAAAGAGCTTTCACGCACTATAAACTGTTGGGGATAAGCAACGTTAAAAGGTTGGCAGAGGCAAAAGACAAGTCACTAAAGAACAATAAATGAATGAAAAGCTGACCTTTAAAGAACCTGTGATCTGGGACATTTTTCTGATATCTAGATGCTGTTGTCGAACAAACATAAACCAGCTAATATGAGTAATATATGTTTCTGGGTGGAGCCAATTTTTGGTCAAATTGATAAATCAGTTTTAGATGTAAAGTTATAACCAAACGAGATGTAACGTTTGATCAGGTTATCAGACAGTAACTCAATGACTTACAGAGTTGTTTCTCAGCCTTAAAGAAAAAATTGTACTTAGATTCTATTAAGCTTTACAATCTACGCCAGTATAATTCCGTACTCACCTCTTAAAGAAAACAGACTCCATTTAGTGGCTTTTACTGGTATAGATTCTGATGGTGCTTTTGTTGAGGACAGTGACATTTGCGGCTTATTATCAGAACATGTTCCCTGCCATGGTCGGTCTCTGAAGACCGAGAAGTATCATGAATTAATAGTATGAAGAAGCTGAGATATATATAAAGCCTAATGTGATATAAAGGGTTTGCACGAACTGTGAATTAGCAAGACAGAGTTTCAGTTTGTAAAACAATTTGCTAGAGTTCCCATTGTATAGTAATCATAATGATCCATCTGTGTGATTGTATATATAGATGCACGTACAGTAACATGTAGATTATTGCTACTTCCTAATGGATGCAAATGTAAAACCAATCTCACAGTGTGCTAAGAAGAAGTAGATTCAGCCATAAGTGAAAAGATAAGGCGTTTTTTAGTCACTATCTCCAATAATAAGTGCAGAAACATATATAAAAGAAAAGGGATAAGGAAGCATGCGCACAAGATAAAGCATCAAAAAACCTTTTTGTTGTTGGCTTTACTGTGTCTGGACTTAGTGCTCCGTACTTATGCAATTCCCTCTTTTTCTCTGAAATCGAAACACATGACAAGCCTGAAGTGCTCTCTTTTTCACTTTTCACACAGCCAATACAATCACAAGTCAAGAAGTCGTCATAGCAAGTTTTTGATAAGAAGATATAAAGAGTTACAGTTCACCAAGATAATGGCATTTACCAACTCAATTTAACTGACCTATAATCATTTCTCTGAAATGGACAGAGACTCTCTGCCGGAAATTTGCTCACCTCAATGTTAAGTAAGACTTTCTTCTGCTAGAAACAAAATGAAGATGAGTAAATCTGCATAAAAAGTTTTCAGATAGAAAAAATCCAAATCTAGGAATCATATGTATACATACATTCTACAACACTCTACATAAAAAGTCAAGTCTGAAACTAGGAACTAGGTCTATTCATTTTCAGGGTCCAAAACTCATACTATCAAAAGTCAGAATCGAGGATCAAACTCACATGGAAACCAAATCAAAGTAAGTCAAGTTACGCGGAAATATCAACCATATACCATTTTACATCACTATTCAAAAACCAAAATCGAATCCACAAGGACCCAAAAGTTAGCTCAGTACGAGAGTAATTGGCGAATATTCTTAGAAAAGCAATGCGACTACACAAAATGTTTCCTGGTAAACTGAAGAACGAGATTGAGCTCTGAATAGACGAATGTTCCTAATTCAGATCTTTCTACTGGATCTATACGGAACATTGCAAACGAATGTATACAATTAATGGAAGAAAACCTTTCTGCTGAAGATCTTCGAGTCCAGAAAACCATCGTCGTACACCTTCCTCTTTTGCTTGATGTGCCCATCTCTTCTTCTTCTTCTTCGTCAGGTTTTTTTTTCCGCATCCCATACTCTCAGATAAGAACAAAAAAAAAAGTTGTTTGCTTTTTGCTATTTTGATATTCCAAAATGGGCCGCCAAAACTTCAAGTCTTATTACTAAAACTTTAAACTTTATAGGTAGCATTTGGGTTTTTATTCTAAAGCCATTCACACACAGTGAAAAATTTAGTATGGTGGAAAGAGAAAAGGGAAGTAAAAGTGGTGACTTGGTGTGTGCAACTTTGCAAGTATGATCAAAACGATTATCGACCAATCAATTGTGTTTCATTACGACACTTGCTTCGATCAAGCTGAAATTCTGAAACTTGTTGTTTTTTTTATAACTTACAATTATTGATTTTCATCACCTGTTGCAAATGTTTTACACTTTTATCTTTGTTAAAGTATAATTGTTACACCAGTATACTTTAACAAAAAATATATAACTATTACACCATTATAGACTATAGTACGAAGTCTTCTAATGTTGGAGATTTTTTTATTTAATCTGTTGTTACAGGAGGTTTTATTTAACATCCGAGGAAAGTCTCTAAGTCATAGTAGTACATAATATTATTAAATTAGTTTTCTTAATGCTAGATATATCTTTTGGGGAAGGTTGTTTTTTATTTATTTATATATATTAAAAACATTTTGGTGAAGGTTAGATCGATGACTTCAAATCGTCGATAACTTGGTCGTTTTGTTCACGTTATTTGCTATCACCGATCTACAAGTTGACCCCGCCATCTTGGAAATGTAAGCTACGTTGACATATTAATAGATTATCATTTTTTATTATGTGTTCTTTTTTGTCAACTACTACCATTTTTTATGAGTTTACCTATTCCCTCCTCGTTTTTTTTTTTCAATTATTTCAAATTTTTGTAACTATTTTTTCTTGCTAAAGTTGTTCATGTTAACAAGACCCTCTTAAGTGTGATTAACATAATGTTTTTTCGGACATTTCCCACATAAATCACTAATTCCTCTGTTTCATTATATAAGTTGTTTTAATTTTTTTTTATATAATATAAGTTGCTTTCATATTTTAATGTTATTTTGTTCTTTATTGAATATTGTGTAGTTAATTTTATTATACAATATTTTATTTTTAAATTAATATATTTAATTTATTTATTAAATAATACTATTTAAATAAAAAGTATATTTTAAAATTTTGTACTTTTATTTTAAACAATTTATATTATAAATCAGAAGGAATATTTTTTTACTTGGGAAATCTGATGTGTGCTTTTTTTTTACAACAGGACATGTGATATCTATATTAATAATATAATTTTCTTAATTCAATATGAGCACATTAAAACTTAGTATTATTATTATATAGGAAACAAATTAAATAATTGGAGTTTTAATATATTGCTCTTTGACGTCGTCAAAACCACCGAGTAAAGTAATTTCACAGGCGACAAAAAACAAATTATTTCATTGTAGCTTTATTATTTTATATAGCCGACCACCCATAATGATTACTCTTAAAATGTTAATTCTCAAGTTAGTGACACCACTGCTTGTCGTTTTATACGGTTTAGTCCAGTCCAACCAAAACAAACATATTGGGAAATTAGAAAAATGTCTCAATTAATATTATTAAAGCGACT